TACCTACCATTTTCTCTCTTTCTTCCGTCTAATTCTATATCCATGTGCAGATTTTTTTTCGCATGGTAATTATGAAAGATATAGAACAAAGAGAAAAAGAAGAATTATTAAAATATTGACACCGATCTGGCATTCAAATTCTGCGGTTTTCTTTCAAGATTCTCTGCTACTTTTCAGCGCATAAAAATATGATTTAGCCTTAATCATTATTCCTCCGACTGGATTTAATTTTACCCTTTTTTTAATACGCCATAATACTTCTTATTCTATTCCAAGGGGTTAACGTCAAGGACTGACTTTTTAAAATACAATTCTTTGCGGGAGAATGTACCTGCTTACAAAATCTGCTTGCAACCCGACAATTGCAAGCATCCCCTTAGATATATTAGAAACCTATCATAGCATGTGTCAGGTTCTTGTATCAATAAAACATTAAGTTACAGTTTCGATAAGTTAATTTTGCCCATTGACTGATTCGGCCACCTTTGCTCCTCAACTGTTTATCGATTGCAAATCTGCGTGGCCGCTAAGATTTCCTGCAAGCTATTGACTTTATCTATTAATAAGGTATATGTATTTTTGATAGAGAGGAACTGGCAGGAATATTTAATGATTTTACAGGATGTATGTAAAGGGGCACCGTAATCCTTCATTTTTATTATTATCATCATTATTATTTTGCTATAAGTGAAAAATAAGAAAGTCGGTTGAAGAAAAAGAAAAGAAAAGAGGCATTTTCCCTCCCTTCCTCAAGAGCCTCCCTGCCGCGGCGCAAGGGAGAAAAGGCCAATTAATTTGAGGTGAAAAAGCAATGGCCGAGGTGAGGTTGGCAGCCCTGGTGCGGGCGAAGCCGAGGATCTTAATAACCCTTTCTCACCGCAGTCCAAGCGAGTAAAACAACCAAGAAAAATAAAGTGAAGCATAAAATAGCCCCAGATATCCGGCAAACGGACGAAACGCCAAAATTAAAAGAAATACAATCTCGCGGAATCTCGCCGATCTCGAGACGTCGCGAGACTTGAGCTTTGTCGGAGGAAGAGACTTCGCCTCCGAACTTCCCTCTGTGTTCCTGTGCGGCGCCGCCAGCAGCCCTAATAAGCCCCGAGGACGTGACGGACGCGGGCTGCAATGAGTGAGGATAACAACGAGATCAAGGGTAAGCGAGGGGCGGGCGGGGCAAGGGAAAACAGAGGAATTCAAGGGAGGCCGAGGCGAGAGGCCTCCTGCGGCTGTCAAGGGGTTCCCTCGCCGCTGTTTTTCTCGCTTATTTCTCTCTTTATTTCTCTTTATTTCCGGGGGTTTCCGAGGGCTCAGGCCATTTTTCGTCGGGCGTGGGAAAGGGAGGAAGGGCTGCAGGGGAGTGAGTCCTTGGAGATCTTTGCCGTTTCGTGTGGATCCCGAAATGAGGCGTTTGTTTTGGCCGATTCGGTCGGGAATTAAATGCTAAGAAAATAAATCAGAATATCGGAATCGAAGTCGGGCTTTGCTCCCGAGAGCGACGCCCCTCCAGAGGCCGCCCCGAACCAGGGTGTCCCGCGAGCCCGAGATCCCCAAAGCGCCTTCCTGCCGCCTTCCTCCTTTAACACCTCGAGCCACTGGGGGACAGGCACCAAGGGCTGGCTGCAGGGGGGGGGGGGGGGCTTTGGGCTCGGAGTGGTGGTTGGGAGAGGAGGCATCGCTGGAACAGGAGGACCATTAATTGTTTTTAATGAGAATCTTTCCCATTGTACCTTTTATCGTGGAAATGTGTAGATGGTATGGAGCACCTGTTCCTGTGTTGTTTAGTACTCCATTTATTATGCTCTATTATATGGCAGTGTCCATCTCCCTCGGTGCTTCGCTCTCAGTAACATCAACTATTATAGTCGGTGGTTTGTCCCGGCTCACCGTTCCATTCCCTCCCTTATTTATTTATTGTTGTCTAGTTTCTCAGATCAGATCAGGCAGATCAAGCGGTTTGTTATGATGGCTATACACGTGATGCAGCAGTAACGGGTTAAAGGGGGTTGAGGCTTATGAGCGAAATGTTTTAGCCCAACCATCAGATCCATCAAATATGGCAACAGTGAATTCCTCATGCTTCTTAGTATACATTTTTTGTGAATATTGTTATTGATAGATAGTGATAGTAATGACACAAGAGCTGGTAGAAGAAGATGGTATGAGGTCTCATTGGGAAATGATAGGCTTAGATTATGTGGCATTTTAAATTTTTGTTGTTGTTATGGGGACTGTGCTTCCATTACTTCCATAGGAGATCTGTTGCCCCCAACCTCCTCCTGGAGTGCTAGTGCTTATAGTCGATGGGGATATATCTACTCCTTGAATTGGTCAGTCTCTATAGGGAGTAGTTGAGTGGGTGTGAGTTCCCACTGGTTGGGCGGGTGAAGGTGAAGAGTTCTACAGGGGAGCCAGCGAGGCTCCTTGTCAGTCTTGGCAGCCCTTGGTTCCAGATCCTGAAGCTTAAATACACATGGGCTGTGTAATCGAGCTGGGAATG